AACTATCTGCTACTGGCTGCACACACACAGGAGAGCGCCACGGTGGGGTTTTGTGTGTGTTGTTTATGGATTGTCGTGGCTAGGGAAATAGAAAAGTGTGAACAAATAAGTAATAATAAAAGAAATTGTCGCCTGTTATCTGGTTAGCTCAAGGCCGCGCCCACGCCCATAGCGCGGACGTGCCACGCTCATGACGATGACGTCATGCAGCTGATGAGCAAAACAGAACCGTTCGCGACGCTCCTTTTCCGGAGCGCTAGGGGGCGTTTGGCGTCACGTGGAATGCATTTGTGGAGCATGAATTCCGTGACGGATTCGTTTCTAGGTGAAACAAACAATTAATTATAGTAAGTAACGATGTGTCTTATGTTAAGAATTTGTACAAAAGTAATTTCAACAAAGAAAACAAATTAAGACTTACCCCTAAAATCATTTTTACTACAAAATTCGGAGCCTGGTTTATTTTCACGCTTAATTTGCGAGGAGGAATGCTCTGCCTAAGTGCTAAAAATTGATCGAAAAAATTGCTTCACGTAACATTTCTGCTCGCATCATTAGAGACAAAAATTAAAAAATGCGAATTTATGAGTTAATATTAAGGATCATTTCAAATCATCATGAAACTCTAATGATTTTCGAGAAGGTGACGCTACAAATGCAGAATTAAAAATATATATTTTTGAGATCCCGCTCGATTTTTACGAAGCTTTTGAGTTCATTGTAACTGCCACTGCTGAATAGAGGTATCACACAGCCCCCCTCCCCCAGTTTTTCTTTTAATTTCATGTCTTTCAAATTTTTAGCCTTAATTCTAATATGATCCAACGTATTTTAATGTTTTCTATTCAATCGAAGGGAAAATTAGGGATAGTGACCGTTAAAAAGATATTGATGTGATGTCTTTTTTCTGAAAAATTTGAACCTTTAGCTAAATTTGTATTACTTATTTACGAAGAGGATTGCTTAGCATAGCTTTCTATCCTCCAGACTTGCTCGTTGCTTGAGAGTAGCTTTTATGTGACACCGTGCAGCTGTGAACATTCATTGTGCCAGTCAATGCTGCAGGAAATTTGTGTATTATATCTGGAAACTTGTTTATGATATTGCAAATGATTCTTTTTTACTTTTGCTGACAATTTGTTAGGTTTACTTTTGAAAACCTTATTGGAATATCAATGCAAAGTTATTGGTGGGATTTGCAGAACAATTTTCAATAGTGTAGCATAAACAAAAAACCCTAAAAACCCTAAAACCTCGAAAAAAAACCCTAAAAACCCTTATTCTATGGTTTTCAAACCATGGGTTTGGCTTTAAAACCCCGAAAAACCCTTATTCTATGGTTTTCAAACCATGGGTTGATCGGTTAAGTAGTAAATTTTTATGAAATATCGTCTGTATTTCATTGCAATGATATAAAAAATTATAGCGTAAGATCAACGACGAGGAAAACAGGCGAGAAAGGCTGCAAAACATGTAACCTAAAACTCGATGGAAGGTTAGAATCCTAACCTGTGATGGTGGCTGGAACTTCCCAGACAGGTATTAGCATGGATTGCAGGATTATTCTGAACCTTTCACTATGTAAACTGGTGAAATTTTACCATGTTTACTGAAAATTTTTGTTTATTTTCTAGAACTGATTATCTAGTTTCATATTATTTACAACATGTTCATGCATGGTCTCCAGATTAGTTCCCATAAATGGACGTTACTCGAAAAACCATTAAGAAATGAGATATAAAATCCGATTCGACCCACAATCTCGTCCAATGCATGCCATAATATTACTGAATCGACTAAGATTTTTATTTTGATATGCTAATCCTTCACAAAGTGCGTCTTAATATGAACAAGCGGTCAGGTTTTTAACCTATGTAAAGGTTTTTTCTCACTATTACAATGCTATTTGCACATGCTGAAATGTAATTGCTGTTTAAAAATTCCAGCCAACTCGAGAACAATTAAAATATAAAGAATACTTCAAACAAACATATAAAAAACCTTCTTCTCCATAATTTTACATCTGGCAGGTGGTAAAACTTGTAGCAACTGTTCCTTTTTTTAATTAATGGAAAACCATAAAGGTACGAAGTACGACGATCCCCATTTATGGTACTAAGCTTGGCATATTGTATCCTCACTTACTGAGTCTCGTTCAGATACCGTCTGTGACTCAAGGCTTTTCTCTAAGTTCATGGCGAGAGAATTACTCGCGCGGCCACTCTCAGGGCGCCTCAGTGTCAGTGTTGCGGGTCACCGCGCGACGAGTGGTCGACCTCGGACGTCGGCATACCTCGCCTGAGTCATCAACTGGTGTGGCACTGTGCCGTGGTTGAGTTTCGTAGTCTGGTGTGGCACTGTGCCGTGGTTGAGTGCCATAGTCTGGTGTGGCACTGTGCCGTGGTTGAGTGCCATAGTGTGGTGTGGCACTGTGCCGTGGTTGAGTGCCATAGTGTGGTGTGGCACTGTACCGAATCAAACATTATGGCAAACTGAGCTAGCATATTGTAAAGTGGGTAGAACGTGTTCAGTGATTAATATTATTTATTGCCTCTTTCGTAGGAGTGAAAGAGTTTAATTTGAATATTTTTACTCTGCCATCCCTTCCCTATTAATCGTAATGAAGTTGAAGTGGTCACTATAACATGCTTGTGTCATTAAAATGAAATTAAGTTCTCTTGAATGATAGTGCGATAACTTTATATCGTAGTTCACTCGACAATTTTGAGATTCTTCAAAGGAATTACCGTCACGCCTGAAAAAAGAGTCTAAGTGCACAGAAATATAATCAACATATTGAAAGATAAAATGCTACCTAAAAAATTATTAGTGTACGTAATTATAGCGATGCTCGTCGTATCGCTCGTCGCCGACGAAGCCAGCGCCGTCAAGAGACGTAGACGACGAAGAAGACGTAACAGGCCAGAAGATATTAACGCAGTACGTCGCGGAGCTCGTAGGAATGGGCGACGTTTACGTCATGCGACGTCGCGAAGAGAAGAGTTTGTTAAAAGACGGCTGAGAAAATTCAGAAATCGAGACGGTGACTACGAAGGCAAGACGAGGCTTGTTGACGGCAGGGCTGAGTTTGAAGGTGAGTTGTGACATTTTTTAGTGGGTGATTCACTGAGTGAAGGTGAGTTTGGTGATGAGTGGTCTCATCACGTCGCATTATTTCTCTGGTGTGTGATTCTTCAGAGTGATGGTGAGTTTGGAAGTGAGCAGGTATGTATATTGCCACACTCCGTGGTCCTATTTCATATAAAAAAATACAGGGGGTATTCACTGAAAAACCTATGCAGAATAAGGCTGAGTTTGTGAGTGAGACGGATTATTTCAAATTATAATTTATGCCAATTTCTGAAGAAATTTGTTTCATGGTGAGTTTTGGCGTGACTAAGTTTACTAGCAGTCCACGTGACCTTCCTCTAGAGATGTTTCATGTTCGGTTAGGGCGAGTATGAATGTGAGTAGGTGTCTTCCCAGGACACATAGAATAGAATAGAATAGAATAAAAGTGTCGGCACTGAAGAAATGGGCCCATGACCTGTTGTCGATTCTTGTACTTTTCGTGACTTGATTGCCCAAGGGATCCGGCCTTTTATAATAATAATAAATAATATTAATAGCGGTTTCAGCATTTATTAGGCCGTAGGCCTGTCGCCGATTCTTAACATCGCAGAAAGTTCGCAGCATTTTGCGGTCTCGAACTCGCAACTCACTGCTACAATAATATTCTGCTGTGCTTAACCGCCTGGCCTCCTTGCCGATTCTAACCAGAAACTGGCGCACAGAGCTGGGATCGAACCAGCGACTTTCTGCGCCAATACTGGTACTCTGAACTGTAACCACTGGGCCACCCTGCTTTTGAACCCGATCTTTCCATAACGATTGATTGTGATAGCTGCTGAACTTATTGCCTTGTCCGTGAGGTGCTATGCATTTCAAGACTGAAGATATGCTCCTGCATAGCTTCGTCTAGTCTGTTCTTGAATGCGTTCATACTCGGAGCGTCAACGATGTTATTAGGGAGGCTATTCCACGTGTCGGTGACTCGAAGCGAGAAGAAATGTTGTCGCATGGATGTGTTACAAAGCAGCGTTTTTTAGTTTATAGCCGTGGCCACTGGTGTTGGTTCTTGTTTCAAATTCTTGTAATCTTTCTGGGACCTTGCATAAACCGTGGGTAAACTTGTATACATCAATGAGGTCACCACGGTCTCATCCTCAAAACTAAATTAATGATGGTTAAGCTCATATACTTCCTTGCCGAATGTGCAGGTTCTCGGAACTAAATTGACTGCAAGCAAGAGAGAGCTTAGAGATGAGTAGGTTTATTAGCAGGCTCGGGCGTCGCATTTCCAACGAAATTTGCCAATTTTGAGAATATAAGGCCAAAAATCTTTGTGCTAATTAAGTTGTACAATAAAATCTCTAGGATGATCGTAATTATTGCCATGTAACGAAGAGATTTACTGTGACTGCAAGCCCTCAAATTAGGCAACGAGGCTTGGTATAACTAATAGACGATAATAGATAAACTTGGAGTTGCCAGAAAACGAATAAGTTTCCTGTGAAGGATGACCGCTGTTTACGGTGTATTCAAATGAAGCTGTGACTAGCTACTATCAGCCGGCTTATGTTACGGCTTATTATTTCTAATAAAAAGTAAGTTGTTATACTCGATAACGTGGAGGTGCTCTTCTCTAAGAACTATTAGATAAAAATCATTATTATTGCAATAAGTACGTCATTGCCAGGTAACGCGGAGGCGCTTATCTGTAATAATGACTACGCAATTGCCAGGTAACGTAAAAGATCAAATAGAGCTTTAAAATGTTCAAAGCAAACAGCCTAAAACGGAGTTTGCTCTAATTAATATTATTTCAATGTCATTACTATTACAATAAGTACGCAATTGCCAGGTAACGTGACGATGCACATCTATAATAATTATTATTATAACGTCATTATTATTACAATAAGCACGTCATTGGCAGGTAACGTGGAGATCTACCATGACGGGAAGTGGGGCAATGTTTGCGACGATGAGTGGGATCTGCGCGAGGGCGAGATTGTGTGTAAAGGCCTCGGCTTCCCCGACGTGAACCAAGTCACCTACAACGGCTTCTACGGACACATCAGACGTAGGTGATTGCTGTAATACTAAGAGGTAGGGAAATTTCAACCTTTTACTTAGCTTCTGAAGTGAATTATTTTCCATAGAGGTAACATCGATCAGTAAGATTTTAACTCGTATGTTAATGAATTAACAAAATTGTACTCCTGCTCTGTGTCAAGTCATAACTTCGGATTTTAGCCTCGTCTTTGCAGATTGACCAAGACTATATGTATATATGGACATGAGAGATAAGGCTGCTATACACAAGTACTGTACGCACAACAGTCCCTCTGTTCATACTGAGCATCTGCGTGGGTCTGCAGGATTTGTATCGGTAGCTTTCCACTCTCTGTATATATAAATAATTGAATGAGTGCTTTGAACTGCATGGTATCTTCTGATACCACCCACTGGTAATAAAGTACGTGGTGCACGCTACGGAGTTGTAGAAAAGATAAGGGAATTACTTTTTATTGAAAATTACTTAATAAATCTGTATTATTTTGCCCGTGTTTTCGCTACTCACTTGTAAATATAATTTTATCATATTTATGTACCATGCACCCTTTAACCAGTCAAGAAGTTTTATTGATAAATATTGTAGCATATCGCACTTGCCTACCCTTAAAAATATTAAATTATATAACATTCAATATATTGACAATATAGTGGCATCATATTCATCATCATTCATTATATTTTTCATTAATTAAGCTAAAATTTAGGACCACAGCTGACAGTCAACCTCGTATATTTCAGTATTGATCTAAATTAAAGTCTAATATTAAATTAAACGATCTAAACTTAAAAGTTCGTGTCCTCAGATCAGTACTGGTTGGACAACCTCTTTTGTTTCGGTAACGAGAAGAACATTTCCTCCTGCAAACACGACGGTTGGGGCAAGCACGACTGTCAACCAGACGAGGCGGCTGGTGTGGTGTGCATGACTCATTTTTCAACCACAACCGAGCCTCCCACCACCACAGCAGCCGTGCCTCTCATACCAATACGGGATGAACCCGCCAACGTTAAAAGATCGAGGCTGCAGGTACGGAGATTACATATGGCAGCTCTTCACCCTAAATTGACCACTTAATTGGGCGAATTTATTCCTTCCAACCTGTGCTGTCCCTTATTTTTCGAATTCAAGTATAGGGCTGAAACTTTGAAACCAAGTGATTATGCAACTTCAGTCATTCGGCGGAGATTTATATTTTTAGTAAAAAAATTCTTAGCATTAATTTCTAACACACGTCAATATCACAATTCATGAGTGGGAAGTGGCCGCTCAAGTATTAAAACAAAACTAATAGTTGGCATGTTTAATACTCATAAAAGTAGTGCAGTCGAAAGCTGAGTTTTAGTTCAATTTTCTTAAGTGCAAATGCAGTTTAATTCATTCAATTTCCCAGATCACTTCTTGATCTTTTTGCTTCAATAGGCAATATTATTGAAATTCTGTGGTTACCTGTTGATTTTATTGCAGGGATGAAATCGTTCTATTTACCTAGTTATCAACTGAAATCCAATTTTACAATAAATATTTGTTTTAATGAGCAGAGCATGAATTGTTTGACAAAATACAATAGCTTCTCAAGACACTCGTGTGTCTGGAAACACTTGGCGGAGACTCCATATCGATAAATGCGGCGGGATATTATAATTTAACATTTTTGCTGTTAATATCAACGTAAAAACAATAGTTAAACTTGCAGGACACACTTGGTGGAGACTCCATGGAGTTAAGTGTGGCTGGAGGACGGGTGCCGGAGGAGGGCCGTGTGGAGATCTTCATGCCAGGCTCCAACTCCAGTGGACTGATCTGTGGAGACGGCTGGAGTCTGCTGGAGGCTGCGGTGGTCTGCAGGCAGCTGGGCTACGGATACGCTCAGTCTGCGCCCTCTACAGGTATCAGAAATAGGCTTTTTTAGACGTAAAATTAATTCAAATAATTGATTTGAGATCACTGGAGAGCACAAAACTCACATTCCTTCAATTCAATGTTCAAATTCTGACACTTGTTTGTTAGACCATTGGAGCTTAACGCAAATACTTCCATTAAGCCCACACGCAAATACGTCTACAAAACTAAGAACTAAGCGGAAATGTGCATGTGCCACTCATTGAAGCGCGTTAAATGTTTATATGTAGCATCCGCTGAGGAGCTCCAAGGGGTTTAGCTTATAACAAGAAGACGGCTTTTGTATCCAATACGGGTAACTGATAAGCAGCAAATACGAGATCGGGATTTCTCAGTAATAATCCAGAAGGCTTTCGAATAGTCATCAATAAATGTTTCAACAAATAACAGAATTATGTCCGAAATCTTACATTCGCTCCGGTTTTTGAAATTAATCAATCCTGCTCTCTTTTACATAGGTGACTTTTAGAAAACAGAATTAAAAATGAAAATTAAATGGAAATTTCTTTGGTTACCGTCCCCTATGTACAGAGTTTATGGCTGAACCTGGAGTTATAGTATTGTGTACTGGTTCTCTCAGGAGTGACATATTACGCATGTCTTTTGAATGATAAAAGGAATTTTCATAGTTTTGATCGAATGTATTCGGCAGGAAAATTTTTCAGTAAAGTCTAAATGAAAAAATCTAAAGGTTATGTTTTCATTCAGGTTTCTTTGGCGGGAACATGACACAAATCGTCCTCTCTGGGGTGAAGTGTCGGGGCAACGAGGAACGTCTCGATGAATGTCTTCACGCCGTCCCACAGGAGCCGGGACTCGTCAAGTGCTTGGGACCTCCGGGCGACCTCAACATTGCCGGGGTCACGTGTGTTCAAAGTTAGTCCCGTGACCTCAACATTGCCGGGGTCACGTGTGTTCAAAGTTAGTCCAGGGGTCACGTGTGTTCAAAGTTAGTACCGTGACCTCAACATTGCCGGGGTCACGTGTGTTCAAAGTTAGTCCCGTGATGCCTGCACAGATCATTACCGACATATGCTGAAGTTATTCAGGTTTGATAGTCCTGATAAATGAGAATTCTATCATTCCTAATCCCATCATTTATTTTCAATATAAATTTAATATAAAGTTTAAGGGCAAGCAATTCAAATTCACATTTATCCTAACAGTCCCATTTAACTTCTATTTTGAATTTTGAAAAAATGTAAAAATTTTCATTTTTGACTATTCATTTTCATTGTTATTTAAAATTTAATTTTTATTTATTTAAATGTCACTTTATTAAATAGAAAACGAAAATTTCAAATCTTTATTAGAACCAAATCTCCTGTTTTGCAACGCTTCACGGTTCTACAAATAAATAAAAAATTTTAATTCCATGTTATACATTCCTACCTATTACATTCACGTTTCTGTGTCAGTTCACTTTTAATGACCTTTCTTGAACAATGTTTGCAGACTTAGCATCTTGTCATTTAGTAATATTAGGATTGCATTAAAACTTTGATTCTATTCACTGACGGGTCCGAAAACTTTGCTTAGACTGCAATTTCGTTCGCAGAAATGGCGGATCTGGTGCCCGACACACACGAACTTATGCGCTCCGTACACTTGGAGGACAAACAACTTTTTTTCCTGCAATGCGCAATGGAGGAAAACTGTCTTGCATCAACTGCTTATGAAAAAGAGGTGCTCCTATTTAGATAAGCTAGGAGCAGATTGTTATGGATGCGATAAAATGAATTATGTTTATGAAATGCTTGATAGAGATTAATTCTAAATGACTTAAGTAAATAAATTTCGGCGCTTCAATCATGCATTTGAAGCCTCTTACAATTATTAAATCTAAAACAGTATAATAGAACTACAGTTAATTTTAGAACAAATTTGAAACTAGATACTTAGAAATTCATTATTATCATACATTTAAATTGATTATCAAGACAATTCACGACTCCCCTCCAGCAGAAGATGGGGTACGGATGGCACCTGGAGACGCGGCGTCTGCTGCGCTTCACCGCCCGCATCGCCAATCAGGGCGACGACGCTTTTCTGCCTTTCCTGCCCAAGCATTACTGGGAATGGCATCACTGCCATATGTCAGATTTGTACATTAAATCTGTTTTAATAATCTGTAGTTGAAGAAATGCATCATGTTTCCTATAAAGAAATTTACTAAACTGTCATAAATTTTACACCGAGAATTTTAGAAGATATTGCAACAATTAACTGGGAAATCTCTCTGTTGAGCGCCAGAGCAAGCGCTGTGCTCAAACTCAAATAATACTTTGAGCACTTATTCGCAATTTCAGTCGCTCTAATTTACTCAGTACCTCTTAAATGACTCATTTATTACTATGTTTTCCATTCGTCGAGTATTTTTACAGGCATTACCACAGCATGGAAGTGTTCGCTCACTACGACATCATGGATGCCAAAGGCAAGAAGGTTGCTGAGGGCCACAAAGCTTCTTTTTGTCTCGAGGACAACAACTGTCTGCCAGGGATTGAACCTTATTATAAATGCGCTAACTTCGGCGACCAAGGCATCAGTCCGGGCTGCACCGACACCTACGCCTACAACATCGACTGCCAGTGGGTGGACATAACCGACCTCGAGCCCGGCGACTACACCTTCAAGGTAGGCACGCATTCAGTTATTATTAGTATTAATTATTATTATTATTGTTATTATTATTATTACTATTGTTATTATTGTTATCATTATTATTATTAATATTACTATTAGTAACTCGTTGGCTTGAATCGCAATTTCAAGCGCATTTGAACTGACGATGAAGCTGGACTCCGACACGTTCTCTATGAAGATATGATTAATTTTAGTGGAATTTTCTTTGCTGCTAAATTTTTTCCGATTATGCTGTACTGTGCTTGAAATAGTTGTATCGGAAAGTGCATTTAATTAGCTTGTATTTTGTATTCTGAAATGACAATTCACAAGAAGGCAAACATGTTTTGAGGGAGCTTCCACAAAGATACAAATTTAGTTACTATGTATTGTTCATAGAAACTTTGAAGCTCGAACTGAGAAGTGGTTCCTTTTCTTGCGTAGGAGCGGTGGTGATGATATTTTCAAAATATAGCTTTATTTTCTACACTATCGTTTATTTACCGAGTATTTCGCATCCAAACGTATTCTTCGGCTCACAGATTTTTATTTCAATTAATTATATTAAGCTTAGAGTAAATCTGGACCGGCTTAATTCTTGGGACAAAATGGTCCTTGTGCAAGATATACAATCGAGCAATTTAAGTATAGGCGATACAGAAAGTTTAAATTTCCCAAGCACGGCAATTTTTATGAAAATAACTTTGGTCTTTGTATTTTAAGCTGTATATTAAGATATATTATTTTTTACAGTTGCACGAATCTTGCACCTTATATGTACATTTTTTTCATGGATGTCATAAGATTTAAAATTGCCTAGCATGGAATCCTCTAGTTCGTCTAGTTTCCATGCATGCAAAGATTTGATACGCATCCGTAACATTACTGACCATGAGCTATCAAGGTCAATTTCCCCAGAAACTTCTTTTATCAGGCTATACTCGATTTAACTTTCGTAATCTTTTTTCGTTGTTCGACATTTTGGCTGGCTGTTTAATTTGCTAAGCAAACTCAGCTACGTTTCTTTTTTGTTCCTCTCAGTCTGTCAGTCTAATTCTGTTTTGCTTTATGTTTATAGTATTCAAGAAGACTAAACATTTTATAAACTTACAAGACTGCTGTGTTTTATGTTTAGAGTATTCAGCAAGACTAACCTTATTTAACTGAGCAGTATGACAGTGGTGCATTTGCACCAATCTCTTATCGCCCAAATGTGTACACTATAAAAACACAAGACCAGATCCCATGTACCGGATCATCCGCTAATAGTCAATTGTTTATTAACACTGCAACCCACTTCAACAGCTCTACTCATAAATCCAATAACTTTTAAATATTGTTTTGGCCGTTATGATATTTTGAAAATACTTGACACGTCAATTCTTTCTCAAAAATGATTCTTGAATTTTTTTACGAATTGGGCGATAAATGATTGAACTTTATCTTCCTACCACTCGTCTATTACAAAGTTGCTCAAGTTTCGTAAAGAGAACAAAGTTTCGTTTGTAAAAATTGTATATGAGCTCGAAATCGTCCAGCAAACATTCAGTTATATTATCAAACATTGAGTAATATTATCTTGATCAGCTGTCGGTGAATCCAGACATGAAGGTCGGTGAGCAGAGCTTCGATAACAACGTGGCGGTGTGTCGTCTACAATACACGACTACCTCAGCCTGGCTGGGCAACTGCTCTCTGCATGCACCCCATAACCTACCCCCGTATCCCGATGTAGCCGTCAACCTGATCTAGGGAGGTCAACTTGATCTAGGGAGGTCAACTTGATCTAGGGAGGTCAACTTGATCTAGGGTGGTCAACTTGATCTAGGGAGGTCAACTTGATCTAGGGAGGTCAACTTGATCTAGGGAGGTCAACTTGATCTAGGGAGGTCAACTTGATCTAGGAAGGTCAACTTGAGCTAGGGAGGTCAGCTTGATCTTGCAAGGCAAACCAGATATAATAAGGTCATCCAGGTAAAATGAGGTCAACCAGGTATAAATAGGTCAACTATAAATAAAGAGGTCAACTAGATATATTAGTGTCAACCCGATATAATCGGGTCAAACCGATAAAAAGAGGTTAACCAGATATAAAGAGATATATACAAGATTTAATGAGATCAATAAGATATACTGTAGCGAGTTCAAACAGTTATGAAAAGGTCAATCAAATCTGAGTGTACCAGATATAGTAGGTTCCACCATACCAATGAGTCATACAGATTATACAAATCAACCGAATCTAATCGAGTCTATTAGATCTAACTCAATCATCAAGGCCTAATCAGGTCGGATTTATCAACTGTAAAGGTAGACAACAATATAGACAATAAGTGAACAATATTTTATATTTTGGCTGTCTTTATGTAATGCATGATATGTTAAATTTTATGCATGTGAAATTTATCTAACACATACTTTCAAATGTTCTATATAAATTATTTACTGTCAGCAATCACTGAAAGAAGGTTCATTATCACTCGAAAAAACTAATCTGAAATGTTAGGGTATTAATCTCAAGGTCTCTCTTGAGGTCTTCTCAATCAGGAACTCGATCATTCGTAGGAGAAATCGTAATCGATTCAGAAATAACATAATGTCAAATTTAGAATAATTTTTCATCACTCACAAATACATTATATACGTTTTGAGAGATAAATAACCTGAATACAGGCACAACTCATTGTCAAGAAGGCAAAAACCTGTAGAAGCACACTCATAATCGTCATTTTAAAAAAGTTACTGATAGAAATATTTTTTATGAGTAATCAGCTCATTTTCTTTCATTTTATTTCTAGAGTGACTTTCTTAAATGAGCGAATTTATAGGGCTCCTGTCTCCGCAATAAATAATAATTTTATGATTTAGTTACAATATTTTATTTTCATTGATTAACGGCAAAACAATTTTACAGCAAATTCTAGCTCACTCATCGATGCAAAAGTGTGGGAAATTAAAGCACACAGTGAAATTAATAATGGCTGGTGTATAGATAAGTCCAGTGTATATATATTTTATGTATATATTATTCAAGGAAAGATATCTAATTTATCTTGTAGGCGTATGATTTTTATCCATGTACAGCTCGCCTTTGAGTTTGATGCCCTCGAATACGCCGATGCATGCAACTTAAATGCAGAATGCAAGCTAACATTTTATCCGTGCAATTCGACCGAAAATTGAATTTGAAAATAACCCAGGCATTTTTTTCGATCGTTTATTCTACTCTTGTGGTTTGTTTATTCTTCATTTTTTGTCTTAGACTCTGGAGGTGCTAAGCATCTAAAGCTATTCTTAAATTACCGTCTAATTTTCATACATAAAGCTAGACTTTAAAACTTTCGGAGAAAGTAAAAAGTATACATTCTATACAAAAAATTGTGGAGTTTTAACGAATAAAACAGCGGTCATGGACAATCAAATAGAATTAGTTGCCAACAAGACAGTTGTCTATCAAATAGTATTTTTTGCCGACGAAACGCTTGTCAACTATTAGAATTATCGCTAACTATACAGTCGAATTCGTCAGAAAAACGTAAATCGACCTATTGGCTCCTACGATAGACAATATTCGCCAACAAAACATACCCATAGGCAAACAAGACATCACAAGCATAACAGAGTTATAAAATAAAATATTTAAAAATACTCTTTAAAAAAACACGTTTTTCTTGTAGACTAAAAAGTAGAAAATAAATTTTGGCGCGCCCCAAAAAACGTGGGTCGGGCTGTACGTTCAACATCAAATTTCCAAAATTTGTGTGTTGTATGCTTTTCGCTTTAATCATAAATCTGCCCGACACACGTTTTTTGGGGCGAGCCAAAATTTATTTTCTACTTTTTAGTCTACAAGAAAAACGTGTTTTTTTTTTAAAAGTATTTTTAAGTATTTTATTTTCTCCTTTTTAGTCCGTTGCTGCACGGACTAAAAAGCATGACTTGACGTACGTATCGATGATACGCAGCGTCAGCGCCTGCTCGTCTATAACGTCAGCGCCCGCACGTCATACTATATATATACTATATATATACCATATATATACTTTACTCAATTAAACTAATTTCGGTCTCTAATTACTAGTTTTTATGATTGTATCTGAAATTGTTAGGCGAAAATAGCCTGCATGCCGAATTTTAGATCTCTAGAACAATCAGAAGTGGGCTAATTTTCGTTCTCAATGTTAACAACAAACAAACAAACAAACAAACAAACGCGAAGCTAAGCTAAGAAAAACGTTTTAAAAACGTTTTAATAAAGTTCTGTGTCCAGCTGGAGATAAACCCGGACTTCAAAGTTGGTGAGCAGAGTTTCATGAACAACGCGGCACGCTGCGAGCTCAAGTATTCGGTGAACAGCGCCTGGATCGGCAACTGCTCGCTCGGCCGACCTGGACCAGACTGATCGTAGTCTGTTTCTTATATATTACCTAGATATATAAATCATGTTTAGCTTCTAATGATTAGATTTAATATTAAGTATAATTCATGGGATAGGTAACTTTAAATTAAATTTTACTATATATGTAGGCTGTTCTACATTTCTTACCACTGTATTCATAATGAAAGTTATTCATGATGATTTATAATTTCGCTAAACTGAATCCATTCATTAAGGTAATCATAAATTCCAATAAAACGGACAATAGTCTAATTTTTACTTGTTAATGCTTTTAATAAACATGGCAAACAATGTAATATTACGTTATCATAATACTATGTTGCCAGTCATGTTCCCAGCGAATAACCAACAACCTTCATTAACTGTTTAGCGTGGTCTTGTTATAGGTTATGGATATAAAATAGAACCAAAATAAATATTTGATAAAATATATTTAATTCGAATTAAAATGATAAAAGAGTTCAATATGAATTTTTTTAAGAACGAACTAATTCAATTTATTTTTCGTTCATCACTGAATAAATTAGAGTTTAATTGATGAGAATGATGATGTAAACGTCCATCCTGCAGTCTTTATAACATGTAAATATTCTCTCGCGTGATAATAGAAATAAATCCATGAACTGCGCTCATGACATTAAACTCAAAACAACTTACTCTTCGTGAAAATACTTACTATTCTTTTTTAATTTTAATAATTCGACAGCAATATGACCTCATGCGAGTTTCTCTCAGGTCACGTAATATTTTCTCTATTTTATTTTCACAATGCAAAATATTCTGAGTCTCACATTAAGAAAATTTCAATATTTTGATCCTGGAAGAAATTTATCAGTAATGCTCCTACAACATCGATTGATAAAAAACTTCTTATATTTATGCATATTATCCTTCTTTCTGAAGTTTAAAAATATCAAATAAATAATAGCTGAACAAAAGTTCTTAGTGAACCTTTTTCTTAATTATGAATAAGTACTCTCATCGTTGCAATATTGTTAAATGCAACAGATGTCAAAGTTTCGCAAATATTTGATATATTTTTTACCTAATAATATTTTTAAAGATTATTCATTTATGGTAGCACTGCCATTATTCCCTTATAATAAAATAGTTGTGTTTACATAGTAAAATAATACTAGAAAATGTTTAAGTTCAACAAATATGCTGACCAATATTTTTTTTTAAATAATTCTCGCTTATTGAAGTAAAATTTTCAGTAAAAATGCCGAAATTTCTCTGTTTATAATTTATTTTTTACCTGCATACGAGGACAGAAAAGACCAAATCAAACAGGCCTAGAACATATAAAAAATTACAATAAATCAAATTTGATACAATGAGCCTCCACCGAGAAAATGAGCAGAATATCATACAAGTAATCAGGAACATCATGATGTAGCAAATAAAAAAATATATTTGTAATCATAATCAATAGTGGAATTGGAACGTGAAGCAGGAAAAATTTGAATAAATTAAAACTGTGCAAAAATTAAATTCCGAGAATTGGGCTTTAAAAGCAGATTTATAGCTATTTATCTCAGGAATATCTAACAGTTTAAAAAAACATAATAAGATTAAGCGCGTGATCTCTACATTTGATTTTAAAGCTAAGTTTAAGGAATTTGTTATCGTGAGGTTACAGGAGAAGGACAGTCAAAAATTCCATAAAAAGAGGTTAGCAATTCTAGAACTCTTACAGCGCGGGATTTTGAACTCAATTCAAATCTCATTGCTTATGATCATATTAACAGGCAGATACGAGATTTGTCCAAATATTGATACACTTTTTGCACTTTTGTGCTGTGGGTAACAAAAGTTTCACGTAAATGTTTCTCACGATTACGCTGCCCGTCCATTATTTTCAAGCGGTAGATAGAAGAGTTATCGTAAAGTTTATTCACGATGCAGCATTGTTTATTTATCATCATGTTTATTCACAATAATTCATCCTTTAAATTACCATGACAGTTTTATTTCTATTACATTTTTTAACAGAATTTCTTCATCTTCAAACGCCATGAAACGCATAGTTTCAGTGTCTGCTGACTACAGCATAAATTATCTTCAACTCAAACTACTTTTATTTTACCATTGAAGTTTTACAGTAGAATTTTTGAAGGAGAAACTAAATTTCATCTAAGCCTTTCAGCAGCGTCTAGTTTTGACAAATTTTCTTTGACAGATAAAAATTCTTCAAAGAAAATGACAACCGAACATTGGTTTTCAAATGGGATTTTTGCTTTATCTTGAATTTGACTATTCTAGAAGATAGGAACCTGAATTAACTATGAAGGAATTTGAAATCAGAATAGACAAACTTAACTTAGTGCTATGTGAGTATAAACAACCTTTTTCTTCTTTTTAAATTTCAGGATTTTTTTTCAAGCTGAAAGAATTCGACTTCACAGGTCTATTGGAGATGATTTCCGGAGATTGCCTCATTTCCAGAACTGATGATTGTAGTTCGGCTCATTTCCAATGCTCGTTACACGACGATCGACTCCATTTCTGCAGTTCCATTTTAACCTTTGTAGATATGGTACACGGAAAGGAAATTCTTACAATGTAATGCATGAACTTTTATTCGATGCGGATACGTCATTCATCTGACTTCAAGAAAAAGCAAAGTTGAAATGTAATTTCGAATTTAAATCGTCGAATTCAATCAATATAAGAAAATTTTCATTTTCCTTGGTCTGTTCGGCAAATTTCGCAATTACAAACGTATTGATAAATGATAATACTCACTTCTACAACCCTGTATTTTGGTTTATTTTCAGCAACGAATGTTCATAACGAATGCATTTAAATAATAATGTTTGCCATCAAACGCGAAGCTCGCATCCATAGGCAGCTGCTATCTTAGCATTCAATTTGTTCGAGCATTTCTGTAGACAATGCGAAGAACAGCGCGGCCCGGAAAGATGCTTACGAATATTACAAGATATTCACCAACTCCTACAATGGGCCGTGGGGCCGCGAGCTGCCATTTGCTGCCATTTAATCCCGTTTATTCACGGCCATTGCGCAGTGTAGTCGCTCGCTCACAAATGTTCTAAGTGCTGATAAGCACGGCAGCCGCGACCTCTAGTCCGTCAGGTAGCGTGTCGAGTGCAATAGAAATGACCAAGTAAGGCATCAAAATTGCGCTGTTACGCTATCAGTTTACTGTACGAGAATATTTATCTGGATATACTTAAAAATAAATATTCGGAGAAAAATAGATTTTTGATAACAATAGACCTTACGTACACTTACAGTGATATGCCAACGGCAAACGATCAAGTGTGTTTTTTTTATTAAATGGAAATTTTGTTCGACTTTGACAAGGAACGATTTTCTGGTATGCTTACTGGCGCGATTAAGGAACAATTTGCGCCTGAAGAAAACGACTTTGAATTTCGCGAACGAATTCTGAACAGAAAACGACTGAACGGCCGTATTGAGGCTGCAGATAATGCCAACATTCCCTGAATGTGATGGTTATGCTCATGAATGTACACGTCATGCACACTTTCAGTGAATTAATTTAAAACTTCCTTCAAATGTGGGACGTTGAATACTATATATTATTGCTATATATTAAATCTCATAGATGAAGATTATACAGGCCAATTTAACTTCAAAGTTTATATAGACATCAGTACGAAATATAATGATATTAAAAAATTACCCTGCTTCATGCTATAACATCACTTCCCATTAGGGGGGTAGTTGAAAATTGATTAAAAGCACACAGCTCATATGCGCTGAATTACTGCCTTATGATACTAAATAACCTTTAAAAGTTGCATGAGTTATAGCCTTAGAATTTAATTTGAATTCATTAGTTCAATAAAACCATGGCCATGTACGAAAAATTTAATTGATAATTAGCTTTTGATTAAATATTTGCCATGAAATAAAAACATTGACAATATAGCAGCTTACACTAAACATTTTCGAAACCATTGTCATCAATAATTTTATAAACTAACAAAAAAGTAACCCAAAATTTAATCGGTTTCCAAATTTATAAGCAACAAATTTTATTCAAATTATCTCAAATTTTCCGATTATTTATTTAGCAAAACTGATATTAAAATTGAATTCATAATCCAGTGAGCAATAACACCAAATATAATAGGCACATTACTCTAAGGTACTACCTTGGTATTAAAAAAATACGACGATTGAATAGTTGGCCAAATAAATTAATGCTTTAAATGAATTAAATTT